GGGTGGGGGAGGGCAGGACACCGCCCACCCAGAGCTTGCCCCGAGGCCGTGCGCCAGGGCGGCCTCCCCAGCCTGCGCCCGGGACCCCAGCACTGGTGCCACGCTCCCTCGACTCACATGCAGGGTGGTAAGGAAGGAGAGCTGCAGCAAAGCCCCCGCGAAGCCCTGGCCCAGGGCCAGCACAAAGGCAGCCTGCTGCCCAAAGAGCTCCTCCGTGGCACCACGCAGGCGCTGGTACAGCCCACAGTATCGTTCCACAAGGTCCGGCGCCTGCCCTGCCGCCTCCAGGAACCGCTGCACCTGTGGGACATGCCAGGAGAGGGGTGAGCCCCGCAGCGGGACGCGCCCATGGCCCGCAGGAACGTCTGCAGCCCCAGCCTCACTCTGCCGACACCAACTGCCGACACCACCTAGGTCCCGGCTAGGGGCCGACTAGAGGCCCCGGTGCTGCCACGGGCTACCGAGAGCTTGCGGCGAGGCGGGAGCACAGCCCTGAGGGCTGGGCAGGGGCTGCAGGGGCAGGACAGAAGCGCAGCAGCAGCCCAGCAGGAAATAAGTAGCCCGACACTGTACCTGTCTCCCAGCCTGCAGCACCAGCCTGGGCGTAGGGTCAGGCTGACACCTGAGCCCTGCCAGGGCGGCAAGCGCAGCAGGGCTGTCCCCACAGAGGCCAGGAACAGCCCTGCGCCCTCCCCATGCTCCCAGGGCACCGCCAGGCCCCGCTCCCCCCTACACCCGCCCGGTGCAGGGTCCCACGTGCCCTCTCTGGCCCCCACGGACGGCCCTCCAAGCTCTACCTGCTGCTGCACCACGCCACGCCAGCACTGTGAGATGCCCCACAGGCTGCTCGACTTCTCCACCACTGCCTTCGCAGCCCTGGCCGGCACCTCCTTGTTCTTCCCCTCCTTCCCGCCTGCCAAGGGACAACCCTGGGCTCAGCGTGGCTCCGTGGGCAGGCTCCGCACACTGACCACCAGCAGCCTCCCCCTCTCTCGGGGGACGCAGGACAGAATGCCGGGGACTCCTTCCCGCCTGCCAAGGGACAACCCTGGGCTCAGCGTGGCTCCGTGGGCAGGCTCCGCACACTGACCACCAGCAGCCTCCCCCTCTCTCGGGGGACGCAGGACAGAGGAGATGCCGGGGAGGCAGGGCCACTGCGGGGGCACGGCCACGAGCCTCCCCCGGCTTGGGAGCCTCCTGTGCCACAGGGCCCTCCCCAGAGCTCCCCAGCAGATCCCCACGGCCGCAGCCTGGCACTCTGGACCACTGTCCTCCCAGCCCCACGGGAGGGCAGCCCCTCGCTCACCAGCTGCTCTTGCCTCCTCTGGCTCTGGGCCGCTGGGGTCCACGTGCACCAGGAGCTGGGTCAGGCGCCGCACACGGGAACCAAAGACAGCACCACGGCTCGTGGCGCGGCGGGGCGGCTCCACGCTCTCCAGGTACTCGCTCAGCAGCCAGGCCAGGGGGCTGACGCCGTGGGGGTCTGCGAGGCCAACCAGACTCAGAGCGGGGTGCCTCAGCCTGGGGCACGGTGCGGACGGGCCAGGGAGAGTGCAGGGTACCTGGGCTGGTGATGCTCTGCACCAAGGGGTTCACCAGGGCCTCCCAGCACGTCCTGCCCAAGGCCCAGGCCGCCTCGTCGTCAGGAAGGAAGCGGTCGGCAAAGCCCTGCTCGTGCCGCAGCGCCCGGTTCAGCCTGCAACAGCGACCGGGCAGCACACACAGCTGCTGGGCACCTGCCGACAGCCAGGGGGACTCCCCCAGGAAAGCAGAGCGTGGTGGTCACTCCCTGCCCTGCCCCTTGCCAGGCACGACGGCTCAGCAGCCCAACTTGCCCCCAGCAGCCAGGGTCCCTCGCTGCCCCCGGGCCCTGCCCGCACTGGGCCTCGGGGCCCTCGCGGCCCCCGCCAAACTGGGGGGCTGCGTGGTGCCTCTGGCCACGAGATCCTGCCTGTGCCTGACCGACCTCCGCCAGGTCAGGACGCGCCAGCCCCTGCGGGGCACCTCTCTGGTGGGTTAGCCGTGCCCACGTGCCCAGCTTAAACCTGGGGGACCCCAAGGTGGCCCTGGCCCTCTGGGACCGCTGGTGGTCAGGGAGGAGCGAGGCCCCCTCCCTGCCCAGGCAGGACACCCGGCTGCTCCTCTCCTGGCCCTGCAGTCCCCTTGCGGGCTGCCAGCACCATCCCCCCAGGCCCTGGGACACCGGGGATGCGATGGCGCAGCCAGGAGACAACTCACCTGCCGAAGAGCTGCAGCAGTCGCCCCCGGTCCCGGCAGATCTCCTGGCACCAGGCATGAGCCCGAGCAGTGCAGGAGAGGAACGTCCGCCGGCACAGCTGCTCCTTGAAGATGGGCCAGAAAGTGGGCTTGGGACCCAGCACCTCGATGCCACGCACACGTGTGTCAATGCCGCCCTATGGGAGAGCGGGACCCTCAGCATGCTCCTCAGGCATGGCCCTGAGGCTCCACACTGCCAGCTCCCTGGCCCGGCCCCCTGCTCCCCTACCTGCTGGCACCGCTTCACCCGGATCTGGATAATGGGCCAGAAGCGGGTCATGTTCTCCAGCAGGATCACTCTGCTGTCTGAGGGGAGGACGGTCACCTGCAGGCAGACAGCGAGCCCTCAGCACGCCAGGCAGCGAGCGCCAGCCCCCCTGCATGCTCCCCTGGCCACCCCCCATTAAAGCCATGGCCTCTGTCCCCCCCAGCAGCCCCTACGCAGCCACAGGGCACTCCCCACCGGGGCCCCACTTCTGCCTCACAGCCCCAGCACACCAGCCTGCTGCAGACTGGGCTGCAGGGCTGCCCATGCCCACGTCTCCAGCACCCACTGCCTACAGCCAGGAGGAGGCTCCCGCAGCACAGCTCCTGCCATCCCCACCTCCCTGCGGGGCGCCTCCCAGGGCCCCGGCACCAGGGCGAGACCTTCACAGGGCACAGCAAGGACCAGCCCACCGCTCCCGTGGTGTCCCATGGCCTCAGCAGCCTGTGCGAGACTCACCGCGTTGAGCTCAGTTCTGATGGCGGCAGGGCTGTCTCCCCCCAGCACCACGACACGGGCTGGCATGTAGCTGGAGTCCTCGCTGGCCACCAGCATGCTCATCTCCCTGCAGCGCAGCAAACACGGTGCTGCCCAGCAGTTCCCACCTCCCTGCCCTGGCCCCTGCCAGCCCCAAGCACTGCTGCCCACGTCCAGCAACCCCCAGGACAGGGACCACTGGGGCAGGGCTCGCACAGATCCCCAAAGCCCTCTCCTCCCCGCACACCGCTGGCCCTCCTGGCCCCAAGGCCCCCCAGCCCAGCCCCACCTGACCACCACACCACACTGCATGTGGACGGTGATGAAGTGGGAGCCAGTGCTGCCATTCGACTCCCAGTAGGTCTTGGGGTTCCTGTCCGTGAGCTTGCTGGCCCGGTGCGGGTTGGAGGAGACCTGCACCTTCTCCCAACACTTGTCCTCCTTCACCTCCACGCTGGAGCCTGTGGGAAGAGCACATGGAGCCTCCAGCTGCCAGGCCAGCACGTGCCAGGCACAGGGCTCCAGCTCCCGCTCCCCGCACTCACCTCGGCACAGGTTGCGCAGAAAGACGTCAAAGAAGGGGATGCTGATGGGCTGGTGGCTCCGGCGGTGCTCCTCAATCTGCCCCAGCACCAGCTACGGGATGGGGAGAGGCTCTTACCGGGGGCCCTGGGTCCTCCTCCCCTCGCCCACCGCAGGGCTGCGGCAGGCAGACAGCAGAAGGCCGCCCCTCGGCGCTGGGGACAGCTGGACGGCCCCAAGACCCAGAGCCCCAGCACAGCTGGGCCTCCCCCAGCCCACCTGGATGCAGCCAGCCAAGATGCTCGTCGTCAGCTTCTTGTAGAGGCTGGCGTACTTCTCACAGTCAATCACCAGGTCGAGCAGGGCTGGCGCCAGCGACGGAGCCGTACTGTGCTTGTCCAGGGCTTTGGACAGAGCCTCACGGGTGCCTACACGGCACATCACCACCGCGCAGTCCTTGCTGGCGGTGGCCAGGCGGTGCAGGAAGCCAACGACCTCCTGCACCACCTGCTGAGCAGGCAGCCGTGAGCGGCCGGGCCGGTGCCGGGAACCTGCCAGGCCCCAGCAGCGGGGTGCTGCAGCGCTCCATCCTCTCCACCCCGACGCCGCAGCAGTGCCCAGGAAAGCCTGGCCGGGCATGGCGCTGGGCACCATCAGCCATCGGGACATGGCCACGGCCACAGCCGGGACAGCCGCTCCCCACCTCTCCCAGCATGTTGGCCACAACAAGGCCGGGCTGCTGCAGGCGGGGACCCCGCTTCACCAACGCCAGGCCCGGCCGATGCACGGCACAGCCAGCAAAGCCACCCCTGCCTGCTGGGAGTCCCCGGGCCCCCTCACCTCCCGGTCACTGCTGTGGGCACTCAGGGAAGACAAACAGGGCTCCACACACTCGTGCCAGGGCAGCTCATCCTCCTGGTAACCGTCCAAGAACTTGTTCAGGATCCTGAATGATGGAGGGGGCCCACTCAGGCCAGGGCACACAGACAGCGGTGCCAGAGGCAGCCCACTGGGAAGGCCGGCACCCCACAGGGACTGGGAGCCAAGGCTCCCCAGGCACCTCGGACACCCCACCAGCACCCAGGCACGTGCTGCTCTGTCCCCACATGGCCCTGTGCCCCAGGACACCCCAATCAGCAGCCGCATATGTGCTGGGGTGCACCTGCCCCTGGTGAAGAAGATCAGCCCCATCAGGACCCACAAACATGCGCTGTGTCCCCCCAGCATCACCACCAGCACTCACACACCTGCTGCAGAGGCCCCAGACCCCCACCAAATCCCCCTGGACCCACCTGAGGATGCTCAGGCTCACAGCCTTCTCCGCCCCCAGCAGCTCAAAGCTGTGCAGCAGCAGCCTGAAGCACCTGTGGTCCTGCAGCAGCCGGGCTGCCTCGCCAGAGGGGACGGGGCCTTCACCGCAGAGCTGCCGCTCCAGGGCCACCACCACGTCCTTGGACAAGGTGCCGTCCCCCAGGCCGTCCAGAAGCGTCGGCACATCCCTCAGGTCCAGTGGGGCCTCTCTGCCTGCCATGACAAGGACACATGGGCCCAGCCCAGGCACTCGCTTGAGAGCCACCAGCGGGGTGCTCTGCCCTGGCAGACGAGGCAGCCCTGCCCGCTGCATCCGTGGGGCCGTGGCACGGCAGGGAGTGCGGGCGGCACGCTACCTGCCGTCTCTGGGCCCAGGGGTATCCGGTGCTCCGCAAGGCGGTTGATCGCACTGAGGGCCAGCATGGCGTGAGGGCAGCCAGTGCTCTGCCTGTCCCACCAGCAGCTCTGCAGCACCGTGGGGAGATCGCAGCTTGCCAGCTGCTCCGCCAGGCCCCGGTGGCTGTCGATCAGCATGTTCACCACCAGCAAGCCGTTCTGCACGCCTGAGGAGCCCCTGCAGGGACAGAGCGATGCAGGCACCTTCTTCCCCCAAGCACGGAGCCTCCCCTGCACCCACAAGCCACCTGCCTGCCTTGCCCGCTCCCCCCCATGCAGAGGGTCCCCCCCACCCCCAGATGCTGTCCTCACTCTGCCCCTACCCTGGGACCCTCTGCAAGGTGCTCATGGCAGCAGGGATGGCACTCAGCAGGCTTGCTGAGCCCTCGCTGGAGGCAGAGCCGATGCTGGCAAAGATCTCCCGCATCATCTGCGCGTCAGCATGGTTCAGGGGCAAGGGCTTCCCACCGGCACCTCCTGGCTCGCCGGCCACAGCTCCCACCAGCACCTTCAGGGCCTGCAAGGTCAACAGCAGTCAGAAGGGCAGCAGGCCTCTCCGCCACACCTGGGCGAGCCTGCACCCTGCCCACCCACCTACAGCATCCCCTCTGCCATGCTCACCGCCAGGCCAGCCTGCTGCACCAGGGCAGAGGAGGCGTGCTGCTGCATGCAGGCCAGCACAGCCCGCACACCGCCCTCCGTGGCAAACAGCATGCGCCAGTCATACTTCGCCATGAGTACGGCCAGCAGCCGCAGCGTCACCACCACCAGGGCCTTCTCTGCCACCTCAGTGCTCAGCAGCTCTACTGCCACCTTCACCAGCTTCTCCCTGCATGGCAAAGGACGCCTCAGGAGGAGCAGCCTCGCACTGCTGCTGGCACACCGGCTCCCCGGGCCCCGCCAGCCACTTTCTCCCTGCCCACACGGCTCTACCGCAGCTGGGTCAGCCCCAGGAATGAAACTGCCTGGGACAAAGGGACACAAGATCCACCCCTCTTCTTGCCGAGCACGCGGGGACATACCGGCCTTCACGCTTCCACTGCCACCTCCCGCACTCCCACCTCCAGTTCCGTCCCCCACCCTGCTGACACGGCCCTCCCCAGCCAGCAGGAAGGGTGCGCAGCACCCCATAGCTCACCCAACACTCCTGGTCCCCAGCCCACCCTGGGCTTTGCCGACTTGCTCCTGGGGCTCAGGCTCCTCCTCCAGGATCTTCATGATGTGCTTGAGCCCAGCTAAGCGCAGCCCCACCTCTGAGCTGCTGCTCTGGATCACATCCACCATGGCTGCAATCTTGGACAGCGAGCCCCTCTCGCTCACCCCCTCGGAGCTGCCCAACACTGGCGGGAGGGAGGCAGGGACACAGGCGTCAGGGCAGCAACTCCCGGGGTGCCATGCACCCACAGGCCCCCCCTCCCCAGGCAACCTCCAGGTGCCTTGCCTCCCGTGCCTTGCCTCCCATGCCCTGCCCAGAGCCTTCCTCCATCGAGGCAACGGAGCCGCCTCCAGCACTGCGCATGTGCCCCAGCGCGTAGCAGGAGATTACCTTTGATCTGCTCCTCTGTCACCTCGGGGAAGAACAGCCCTTCCCTCTCAAGGAGCTCGCTGAACAGCTGGGAATCTGACTTCACCGCCACAGCGGGGGCTCGGGGCGGCACTGCGGCTGCAGAAAGGTCTTCCTTCGCTGCCTTGGCTGTCGTGGCTTCAGAGCCAGTGCTCCTGCAGCCGGCACCCTCTGAGGATACCACGGTGCTCCCCCCGCCATCCTGCTTGGCCCCGCTACCGAGGAAGTATTTGGCATAGATGTGGGAGCTGCGCAGGTCACGCTGAGCACTGCCCTGGCACCGCTTCTCCAAGACCCGCAGCACCTTCTGGGCCAGCTCCGCAGGTACCGACAGCTGGATCAGGGCTTCTTCATCCACCTCCGACAGCTGGACAGATGGGGTCAAGTTAACCCTCACGGACTCGCCACAGACCCCACGCCCCTTGTGACGGCCAGTGCCAGAACAGACAGAAAGGCTGCACCGCCAGAGACCCCCAGGGCCATTCCCCAGTGCCACCCTCCCCTGGCTGTCCCCAGCCCAACTACCACCAGACCAGACCTCCCACCTGCACTCACCACCCAACTGCAACCGGCAGAATCGCCCCATGGGCTTGCCTCGCCTACCCAAACCTCACTGGACACAGTCACTCTTCCAGGGTCATGGGAGACTGCGTTTCCTCTCATCTCTCCTCACCCCTCTGCTGTGCCCAGCTCCCCACGCTTTCGCCATCCCCCACTCACCCTCCCATTTCAGTCCCATTTCTGCCTCGTTCAGGCTGTCCCTGCACAGCTCACGCTTGCCGTCTCCTCCTCCGGGCCCGGGCCCTCCCCTAACGTTCTCCCTC